GTCTGTATTGCCCTATGGTATCGTATCACATGGAACAGGGAGTCACGCTGTGTTCTGTCTAAGCTGCGTGTGTGCACAGCTGAGCAGAAACCTTTAAGGCCCCTCACACAAAACAGGCCAGGTCAGGTAACAGTTAAGGAAGTAAAGGATTTATCTAAACCTCACATTAAACAGAGAGGGAGAGAAGGAAATCATAGGAGAAAAAAGATACACCAGGAATAGGACAATAGAATGATGGTTAAGGCCTTAATTATTTTTAAAATAATTAAGTCTTTTTAGTAATTTGCAACAGCTGTTAAACACTTTCCGCAGTTACGGTACCTGAAGTGTTCTGATCTCTTCTCAAAAAGAGCCCTCTCAGCTTTTGATCGGTCCCAATAGAGACTCACTCACTGACTTTGTCATGGCCAGTTCCTGTATGAAAGCACTTGTTTCCGAAAAACAGTTGACTAAGTGACCCCTTTGTGTGTCTTGCAGCCTTTCAGTGTTCAGCACGTATGAGTTTCTAAGAAATGAATAATTGAATGTACTCCATGATTCTGTTTTCAGTGCCAGCATTACATTGTTGTTTTAACATTTCATATCCTTGATCTCTTCTTTCACTGGGAATTTACTACATATAGTTTGCTTTTCAAGGGATTGAGAAGAATGGTCTTAGACTTTGTAAGCCTGAAAGTTTACTAGCTGCCACAACAGGATGAAAATGAATTTCTGTAGTTGCATTTTCACAGATTACCAAATTGTAACAATGCATGTTTTTTATCGGCAGCTGTCCGGTTGCTGCAGTTTCTGTTTTGCTGTAGTAACATACTGTATGGTGCTTCTTATCTCTTAAATCCCTCTTAAAGTTTGCACATCTCTTAATGTCACAGTTTTGTTCTCTTTGTTTAATTACTCAATAATATTGCAGCCTATTTTATTTGTTCCAAGTTTTTTTTTTTAAATAGTGCGTGAAAAGCAAACATCAGATATTGTTTTAAGGTGATGTAAAACATTACTGAAATGTCAATTGAAAATTACTGAAAAGAGTAATGCTTGTCTTTTTGTGTAACCTACAGTGTGATAACTAGGACTTGGAAAATAAAATACAGGTTGGATATTTTACACATTTCTACATTAAAAAGAGGTACTTATATGGAGATGGGGTGTGCTACTGTGTCAACAGTTCATTGTTCTCTTTTTCTTTCAATGTGGTGGTTTACCTATGAATAATAATCAAGTAATTAAAAACAATAAGAAAATTATCAATGATTTATGTGTCAGCATCCCTAATGGAGGAGTGAGAAATTCTTTCACCAGTTGTATCAACGGGGGCTTTTTTGATAGGCTGTGTGTACTGGAATTTAGCCAGGACACTCGAATTAGCATCCCTGCTCTGAGAAACAGTGCCTAAGATTTTAAATGATTATGATGACAGAATCTGACTTTAATGTCTCATTTGACGAATGACACTTCCTACACAAAGTCCAGTGATCACCATACTCGTATGTTAGTTTGGAAATTTTTTTAGCCTGATGCTCTGTCTACACCACTAACAGCAGCAACATGATTTCCAAGGTGTTTCCCATCCCAAAACTTGCTCAGTTTCTCAAAGCTGCAATACTCAGGGCAGAGGGTAGTACCACTGCTTTGATGTGGGTGAAAAACTGAAGATGTACTCCTATTGCTTGTCCCATATGTAATTCAGAAAGAATACCTTAAGAAGACAGATAGGATACTTTTAAGGAAGGATAGGTGGAGTGAAGGTCTAGGTCTGGAATACCCAGGCAGGGTATCTGATTTTGTATAATAAAGAAACCTTGCTTTATGATTGCATAATCCTGTAGTTAGCCTCACATTATCTTCCCTATATTAGCTGATCAGAACATAATAAAAATGTAATCCTGAGTGGCTGAATTGGAAAAGTACTCTTCCACTCTTGAGTTCTGTTCTGCAGTCATGGATCCAGGCCTGTCATATGCCTAGCCTGAGGTACTGTAAGTATGGGATTATTAGCAGTGCAACATGTTTAGTAGAAACACTCTTACAATTCATCGTTATAGAGTAACTAACTCAGTGCAAGTGGTGTGCTAAACACTAAATAAAATATGAGCAAAAACGTGCCATGATATCACCCTCCAAAACATTTTTTTGTCTTCTACAAAATAAAAAAAACTGTAGTGTAGCAAACATGAAGCTTAGTAATCACAGTGTCTTACAGTATTTTAACATATGTAGTGGAAACACTCTTACAATTCAATATGGAGTTAATAAGCCTGAATGATATACGATTCAGTGTCAGCAAATGTGCCATGGTTTAGTTGTGCCTTGATAAGCGTCAATCTTCTTGTTGAATTAAAATTTATTTTCATATCCCAAAGTGTAAAAAAGTGTATTCTTGAAAATGGACTACAGTGCTGGAAGACTCTCAGAAAGTGTCTGCTCCTTTAACATCACTTCCAAAATGCAATGGGGCGATGAGCTGTCAATTTAATGTTCCAGATTTCTGCGGAATATGGGAGAACAAGTGATAAATAGGTCAAATGAGTCAAACTTAATGTCAGGCCAGCTGTAAATAATATTTTTATTTTTCCCGAACTGACTTTTCGCAGCGTGTAGTTGGCTGCCAAGTTTAAAACAATATTTACAGAAATAAAAATCTTTAAACAGTATTACTGTTTTGTTTAATGGATATGCATGTGAACGCGTAGGCTCTATGCTTCCCGCGTTTTCAGCTTTCCCTCTTGATGGAAGTGAGCGGAGTACCGACTATCCACCAGCACTGCAGAGCTGTGTGAACTCTCCTTTACGCGGACTGCTGGCTCTTGAGTCAAAATAAATCAGTCGCAGTGAAATCTTTTTTTCGTCTCAGTTTTCCTTGCGTTTTTGTTTAAGCGGTGGATCTGTCCCAGATTTGCAATTGCTACCTCTTTGTTTTGAGCCCAGTGCAAGGAAAGATACAAATCCCTATTGCTTTGCCCAACAGTCAACAACGACATTATGTACTGTAGGAAGAAAAAGAAGCTGATTTACTATAAATAAAAAAGAAGAAGAATACAGCGGTGCATTAATCTAATTTATTGTGTCTTTCCTTCCATGCATTCCTAGGTTTTCACAATCAGGAGAACTATTTTTTAATGATTTATTTCATATTTGGAATACTTTTGTATTTGCTTGGGATTTTCCGTATTTGTCCTTGGGTTTTTTTTTTGTTTAGTCCAAGTCCTGAAAGCTTTGCCTGGATTGCAGGTTTCCAGATTTCCTGTCTTGTATTGTGTCTGATTGAGGATGCTGGCATCCTTTCCTTATCCCGGAGGGAATCTTGCACAACTCTTGCCTTGCTCTTTTCCAATGTCTGAAGACAGCATTCCATCCTGACTGTGATTTCCAAGCATACGCTGCACACCTCAGGGACTTGGTGCGCTTCCATTCCTGCAGATGTACTACAAGACAAACATTCCTCATTTGCGTGTCGTAACTACATCAGTTACTGTAGCTGTCTCCTGCGTTTGAAACCTCGCTCTGTTGTGTGATGCGGGAGGAGAAGACTGCCCTAATATTGCCTTATCTGGCGAATGTGAATGCTTCAGCACACTTTATTCTCCCAGACATTAATTTACCCAGCATCAGAATTTGAAAATATTTCACTGAGTTTTCTGGACATTTTTCTTCACTGTACGTGCAAGACGTCTTAGTGTTTTTGCTTACAAGAAAATGCCTTCCATTGCTTCTTTTGTTGAATACCATCTAGTCTGAAATGTTATCAGGTATAAATGTAGTAACTTCCATTTCTCAGTTGAAATAAGGAAATTGTTTTAATTTAACACATCCTTTTTTGATAAAACGGGTCCACGTTTAGCTATTGTCCTGCAGATGATCATTTTGATGAAAGCATTTTGCCCTAAACTTGACTTACTGTAGTTGTATACAGTAAAACCATTTAAGGAATCTGTCAAATGTAATAATCAGTACTCAGTGTTTAGTGAATATGTTACTCATAAGAGAGGTTTTCTTAAAAGCCATTGTATCACAGTTGACAAGAATCTGGATGTTCTTCCAAATCTTTTGGAAATTTTTGTGGCAGGCCTCTTGAAACATTAGCTTTTAACGTGATTTTTTATGATGAGTTTCAAACCCTTTTCAATCAATATACTGGCATCGGAACGATATGTCCTTAGATTTTGTGTTTAATGATATTGCACTGGTTTTGTCAACCTCCTGAAATTTAATTTGGTAGAAAAGTGGGGAGAAATTGCCAGATCATTCAGCAACTGTGTTAGCAGCAGAAGAAGGCAGCTGTATTTCTCTTTGAAAAGATGGAATACAGTGTGTGTCTGTGTATCCCTAGTTAAACACATTAAGTGAAAGAGTGTGAAGTGTAAAAGATCTTTGATGTGCAAAATACATATAAACAGACTTAAAAAAAATAGGAAAGCAATGTGTTTTGGTTTCCCAAAGCATTTGCTTTATTTTTTTTGCAGTAAATTTAAAGGATGAAGGACCACTGATATACAGTACTAGTACAACCTGTTCATCAAACCAGTTCTGGCATAAACAAACTCATTTGATCTACACAGTTATAAATTATTGTACCCAAAACTAATTTGATTTACGTTGATTGGCCAATTATTTTCTGATGCTTTCCCCCTTCCTCTTCATAAACCCTACACCTATTTTTGTCCTCGTGTTTTTTTTTTTTTTAGGAAATGCAGTTGTCTTTTGTATCCATTATCCAGAAAGTTCAACATTCCTCACACATGTGCTGGTATAGTTTGGTTTTGTGCAGCATTACAGTACATAGATTAGTGGGTGCTGTCCCCATACCAGACATAGTAGCGTAACTTTATAAGCAAAAAATAACATTTCTTTGCTACTATGCCCTCATGAGTTCAAGTCATTGGCTTGAAATCTTTATCGTATACAGTATATGTTTAATTATAGTGGCATACAGGAACATAGGTAGCCTTTGGTGCTGGTCATGCCTTTTCATGGGTGTGTGTCGTGTCTCTGTTCGGTTTCAGTTTTGCCAGCCAGGCGGATGGAAGCTGTCCCGGGAGAGGAGACCGCCCACTTTCTTCGTGGTGGTTCTGACCGACATTGATTCGGACAGACACTACTGCGCATGCCTGACGTTCTTCGAGGCAGAGATCAATCTTCAGGTACTGTGAGCCATTGCTTACCCAGTTTTAGTCATCGATCACCTCTGTAGCCGTGTTGGAGCCTCTGGATCTCTTCTGTGTGTAAACAGATGTATGGGTATACCAGATGCACAAACTCCTGGTCTACAAGTTGCATATTGAAAGCTCTTTACATCTAGACAGACATTGAAGCATAGTTCCCTAATAGTATGGACTGCCTAATTCTACCAAAACAAATGTTAGAGCTAAAGGGGTCTGTGTGTTACATGTCTTGAATGAAATAACAAATGCTTAAATTGGGGGTAATGGTGTGATGAAAGATTTCTGCCCATCTTTGGTACAGTAAAAACGCAGATCTTTGAATTTTCTTTTTCTCCTAGATGAACACGCCTTGTTATCCTAAATAAAAATACAATAAAAGTATTGTTTGCAAATACATAATGAGGATACAATTTGTACTCTATACCCTAAAACACAGAGGCCCCTTATCTTTGCTTTTGGTCAATTATTGATCCAGCCAGAGGCAAGGATCTCAAAGTGGGAAAAGGAAATGCGGAAAGATGGCTCTTTTGAGCTCAATAACTGCCCAGAATAGCAGATCAAATAAGCTACAGACAAACGGAAATTCCAGACTGTGCCTCAAGTACTTGGCATGTTATTAATCATGGAATGAGTGTTTGCATTTATGACATCAGTGCTGCGGGTTGGCATGGCAAATATTGGAAGTTGCAGTTCTTACGTATTTATTTTTGCATAATTATTTCATAATGGTGCTTTTATGATTTGGTTTAAAACGAAATATCAGACGTGTTTCTCCACATTTGATATATGAACCGCAACAGTAAGGAGATTTGAATTTTGAATTGAATTGAATTTTAGCTGAGTGGTTATGATTGTTTTACACTTTGTACAGAATTATAATGAATCACAGTGAACCATCATACTACTGCAGCCCTGCTTTGGATTGTTACCTTGTTGTATCTACTGTATAATTCTCTCCCTTGACTCAGTGAAACACAGCATTAGGATAAGGCTAACGTTCTGTTTAGATTTGCAGGTTTTATGTTTAGTTACTGGATTTATTGTCATGCTGTTTGTTATTTAATAGTGGTTAAATGTTGACTGTAGCTGACCGGAGCCCAAATATTATCTATCACCCTAAAGGGACACACATTTTTCAGATGACTTTGGTTTAGTTTAAAAGGCATTCCATGACTGTATTGTTTATCTCTATACTTCCTGTTGTTTTTCTGTAGTCCAAAGATAACAATAGAGATGTCATTAAAGGAAAATTCTGTATCCATCCATATCCGTTCTTGTCTGGTCATTAACATGGAATTCACTATACATGCTTGCTCATAATGAATTACAGTATGTGGCCTGCCATCCCCAAATCAGTCATAAATAATGTCTTCTGTAGATATGTCTGCGAGCCATTCTAAGCATATAACGTCATATTTCAATCTCACATCTCAGTTTTCATTTTACGGTTGAGTTTTAATATTTTTGCTTAGCTGTTTTTATTCACCTGAAATACATGCAACTGCTAAAGCAACAGTGTAGACTCTGAAGGGCACTTCAGACCAGCAGCTTAATTTCAGCTCAGTAAGGTTTCTGACGCTGCTGCTCAGAATTATTTGGATAATGAAGTGTTTGCTTCACTTCAATTAACCTGCTTTTTTAGTATCATGTAATTCGTCAGTTGTCATTTTTGTAATGCGACTTGGTATTGATTAAAATAGCTAGTCTGTTACAGCAGCATGTTGACAACAGTGCAGATTTTCCTCTTGTGGACTGCCTTTTTTTCCCCCCAGCGCTGGTGCCAGATGCGTGCTAGTTTTACTTAAATAATCTACAATTTTAATTAGTTTACCTTGCCATTTCACTGCTGATAAATCTCTTCATTTTGTTCAGCCTCCTCTGTCAACAACAGTTGCTTTTTTATTTCTTTTATAATTTAAAGCATGAATATCCTTAGAGGAAAAAAGCAAACTAAACAGATAAAAATGCAGTGTGTTTTGCACTGGAAGACTTATAATTGCTTTGAAGGTCGGGCTACAGCTCACCCAGTCTCCGGCACCTCTGTCATGTGCTATGATAACAAACAGCTGGAAGACTCCCCATCAGTAGCATTAGTGTGCTGCCAGCATGAGCTGACAAGGGATCAAAAGGCAGGATTATCACTGGCCACAGTGATTTGTTTTCTTTTCTTTTCTTTTTATATGTTATATTCTGTCTTCTACGACTGCCTTACGCCAATGAAATCAAAACATTGCTGATGAAATATGAAAACCCTAACCATCACCAGTTATTTAGGCCGAGTCTGGTCTAAAGCCCACACGTGCCAGTAAATCTGGATTATCAACATTATAAATTTTTTATTTTTGTTATTTGTGAAGACATTTCTGACTAGTCTCTATGTACACTTTGTGCAGCCTGTGATACTTTGCTTTCTTTTGTTCTCACCATGAACTCTAGATTACTGTAGCAGAGAGCTACACAGGTTCTCCCAGAGGGCCAGGAGGTTTCTGGTTTTCTTTCCACCTGAGCCATTAACTACCTTATTGAGCTCATTATTTGCTTAATTGGGCAAGTTGAAGCTTCTCGTTGTTCTTATGAAGCTGTAGATTTAGAGAGAACTGTAAACCTGGCCAGCAGTGCAAGATAGGGTTTGTGAAGAAGAATTTCCAGAATTGTGGAAGGTGCCACATTTGAATCAAAAAACATCCCAGAATCTTTTACAAATTACTTACAGTGTCTGGTCTCCTTCATCTTCAGTTTGCACATCTTTTGGTCAGCTTTTCTCATCTCTTATAAAATACAAGGTGTTTATAAATGCCACTGGCCTATTAACCTGCATTGTGAGACCTGCACTGTGCAGCAGTGATCTGTGGCTCAGGTACAGAGGAGAATGAAAGCATGCACCAGAAGGAACTACACGCGCTCAGTGGGAGAGAGACATGTGTCTGTGATGGGTTGCTTGCATGGAAGGAGATGGGAATGTGTTCCTCAAGAGCCCATTGTACTTAATTTCTTCATCGATTTAAGTGAGGCAAACATTTCAATAGGCCAATTAATTCCATGAATCCTTCTATGATATATGTGGTAACCTGCTTTTTTCAGACAGAAGTCCCTAAAGCTCTATTGCATTATTGGGTATTTGTGTAAAATCACACACTATGGATTGTCCACTTCTAATACAAGCTCTAATCTCTTGCTTTGTGATAACAGAGGCATGAGCCTGTCTTGGAATAGAGTACAGACTGAAGAATCTGCTAGTTCAGCACAGGCACAGCTATAAGCATTCTGTTTAAAGACCAGAAAGGCAGGGTAACTTTAGTTTGTAGAGCGAGGAGTTTTCTAGGATGCTTTTCTGCCAAAAAATGCTATCTATTTGCTTATCAAGGTCACATGAACCACAAGAAGAATAAATTATTGTTATACTGGCACCATGATTTATTTTAAGTAGGTACCTATAGCTGTGTCATGCACACCTGAAGAAGGCTTCTCAGCCAAAACGTATTTATTTTCTCCTCTTTTCTGCATGGAATAAACCTTTACCTATTCCTTTGCAACCTATGCATGCTGATGCAGCTACCTTCTTAAAATAAATCATGGTGCCAGTACAACAACAATTTATTCTTCTTGTGGTTCATGTGACCTTGATAAGATGCTGGAGAAAGTATTGTAAATATTCCATTATATTTCTACCGTATATGTAATTATTTCTAAATGATATTCTTTTACCATGTGTTGAATACCTTAATCTTTAGCTGAAAGAGGTTTTCTGCAGTATATACAGTATGAATTCAAATACTATATAGTTAAAAAGGGTATTTTACGTATGGGGTGTCTGCTGTACTGTACATTTGAAACATGAAACCAAACATTCCTTTTGAATTAAAACAGTTCTACCTGGCAGTCAGTTTAGTTGGTGATTTTTAAAAATCTATATTTTAATGTATATAGTTAATAAGGGTGATGACTCCCAACCAGAAATGAACTGTGACCATTAAAAAGACTTAAGATTTGACGGTGTCTTTATTGCAAATGAGATTGCATTTAAGATGTCATTTTCACACTTGCTAATACAGTGAACCAAGAAACCAGTCCTTTTAGTAAATGAGGAATGCTTATGTTTTGATGTAATGTAAAAAAGTTAAATAAGAAAATCCATCACCCTTAGCAAATTCTTAAATTTCTGAACTTAAACTTGGTTTGAACTTAACCAAAAATAACCATAATTAAGGTCGTCTCTGAGGGGATGAATTAAACCAGGCAAATGCCAAAGTTCACTCCCAGGGAAATAAAAACACTAATGAATAGTAAATAAGCAACACACGATTGATGGTTAATTCTGTAAGTTTGACTACAGACCATTTTTTCTTCTGTTTTTCCTGCAGAAAAGTCTTTAAGTTCTGCATTCCAGAATGGCACAATTATTGATTGTTAAAATACTTTTAGTTATCTGCACCAAATTATTTTAATGGACTGCCGTTCTTTTGGAAGTCACAGTCAATGACATGTTTTTCTTCAGCTTTTCAAAGTGGTAGGTTGGCCAGCTCCCAGTTCTTTTTTTTTCCCATGCTGCGTTCAGCAAAACCTTCAACCAGTGACAAAAAAGTTTGGTTTGTTTTCCCACAAATGTTGCTCTGATTTTCCTGCAGCAATATAGAAACATGCTGTCAAATCTCATAACTCTCAAGGTATGTGTAGCATACATTATGCAAAATCTTCTGAATCACAGCCTCTGGAAAAAAATGCTTATTTGTCCGAGCAAGCTTATGAATGGACTTGCTGAGAGCAAAGCTTGAGCCCAGTAGTCCACAAATCCCTGGTCACAGTCATGGAAACATATTTGCATACTTGAATTCAACAAGTATGTGTTCAACAGTAAGTAGTTCAACAAGTATGCAGAAAACAGTGGTGCATAACTTAATCAACAGGTCTGGTGGGCTTGAATCAGCCTGGGATTTTTGGGGCTAATTGCTATGTAACATCAGCCCCAGAGATGTCGCTGGCACTTCTGAGCTTGCAGCATTGTCATTCCAAGTTGTATGAGTTCACTATTACCTGGTGGTGGAGGGGAGTCCCCATTACTTGTAAAGCGCTTTGAGTGGAGTGTCCAGAAAAGCGCTATATAAGTGTAAGCAATTGATTATTATCTCTGAATTTAGAAGCTGCGTGCATTATAGAAAATGGCAGGAGGCTCAATGGTGAGTTTTTGATGAGGAAGCTGCGTGCAGAATCAACCAGACTGCACGCAGAGTAAAGAACAAAATAACTGATGGTTCAAATTTTAAGAGACTTTATCAAAGGTGTGGACATAGTAATATTCTAAATAATAATAAGCGTTATGTTATATACAGTAGCAACTTTAAAAGTAGCATCTTACAATAAAAAAGGTTATAAGGATAGCAAATTTGCACTTTTGCAAGTGAGAAACACAGTACTGTACAGTATTATGATACGTTATTTTCTATATGTTGTATAGACATATACTGTACATGTTGTACTAATGCATGTTGTACTGAAATCTATGTTGGCACATGAGTTGCACTCAGATATCCTAAGATGAAGATAAAAAGTAATGAAATAATTGCTGGAAAACACATCAGCATCTTTGTAAAGGAGAGTGACCTAAACATAAAGATCTTTGTACTGTAGATATCATTTCTGACATCTGTACTAACATACTGTAGTGTAGTCCATTAATTTGACTGTTGTTACCTTGTGGCTGGACATACAGTATCATGCTTTGAATTTGTGTGTTCACAAGACTTTTCTTTGCCACAGGTGAATCAGAGTAAGAGCTGAATGTTAGTCCTAACAAGTGGGAAATTAAAATACTTTTTCATATTCTGTATAAAATATACAGTAAAGTACAGATCTTACACTTGGGCTGAGGAAATTCAATAGAAGTGTAGGAGTTAGCAGTAAGTTAAACATGTTGTCAATCGGTGGTGTTCTAGCACACATTTTGCAAAAGAAAACAATGTCCAGCTTCAGCAGGTTATCAGCTATTGTTGGGTGTGCAGTTCTGTAGTGTTCAGCCCTTTTAGAATAAATATTAATCATGATTTTTTGATGATGTTTTCTTGTCTCCTGCCAGGAGATGGCAGTGTGATTTGTTCTCTTGTTAACCATGAGAGTCAAATTGAATTTAGCTTCTATAGAGGAGACCGACCACTTATTGTAAATAAATGTGGCCAGTCACTGATATGGTGACTGTGGTGGTCCTTATATTTCTCCTATTACCCCGTGAAATGACTAGTTGTTTTGCCTAACCTGGCGCAAAATATTGGAATTTCAAAACACCCATTTTTTTATTAAAGGAAGAAAGAAAAACTCCCTTTCCCCCTCATTTGCACATCTCAGGATAAACATTGGACAAGTAATATATTGCAGATTGTTTTAACAAGACCAAGAAAGGATAAATCTGTGCTGATGACTTTGAACCTTAAAGATTACCCTTAATGTCACAGTAATTTATTTCTTCTGTTCCTTATTTCCTGTGGGAAATTATTCCATTCATGTTGCTCTTATGAACAGCAAAACTTTACTTAATGGACATTATTGCCTTCTTCTGACATTAATAGACCCATTTAATAACACAGTGACAAGGTTAATTTAAAATGTCTTCTTTCGTTGTTTATTTTATTTATAAATAATTATATTCTCATTAAGCCTACCCATGGTGAATGTTTGGAGTCAAGGCTGTTTGGTGTCTCATTAAATACAAAGTCTTTGTCAGTAGAATTATTTGTGTGTCTAATCCATCACAGAGTTGTGTGCCTCTAGATATAGTTCAAATGATTAAATTGGCTAAACAAAATGCTTTATTTTTAAGATTTAATTATATTTGGTTACTTTTTTTGTGAAAATATTTGAGAAGGTGATAATTACCCCTTTGATTCGATAAATTCCAGCGTCATGCCTATAATGTGTACTGTACCTAATACCAGTAATAAAAAATGCCAGATGCCAAAAAAGACAAAATTAGGGTTGGCACAATTAATGTCTGAAATAAATGTGCAGAACTAGTGTGACTTGAGCATATAAGGCTGCAGATCATCGCTGAAAAGTCTTTAGAGTTCATGAGTTTAAAGGAGCAATAATTCAGGATGAGCAGAACATTGTGTTTCCTAACTTCCGTCCTCAAATATGTGCTTTGAGAAGATTTCCTTATGTGAGCCGTTCCACGGTAATCCGGTGTTTTTGTTCATTTGGATAGGTTTTATGGTAGCTGGAGTCGCACTTCAACAACGCCTGCATGTGATTTGCGTTACAAGCACAGGGCTTAAGGGGTTCCTCCTGGTCTCTTCTCTGAATTCCTGAAGGTGCTGAGTAAGGTGTTTTGCAATCACTGTCAATGAGAAATTGTGGAGTCATCCCACATGCTGTTTGTGGGATGTGGTATTCATTTCTGGTACTCCTCCAGTAATTAAAACTCTGGCAAATGATTACTTCTTAGTAATGCTTATGCTATCCGTGAGCTAATATTGCTCTTCTGTGCATCAGGCTAGGATGACAAATTCAAAAGATTTCCTCCCTGCTGTGTGTTGCTGAAGGCTTTGGACTCATCCTTTTCATAAAAGTCCCATGTTTTTTTTGGAGACCGACATCCAGACTCTAAATTCTCAAAAATTGTCCGCTCAGTAGTTGTTGGTTTTTACAAGAAGTGCATCTGCTTCAACTTTAAATGCTCACAAAATTGTCTGTAGTCTATACAGTTTTTTTAAGTTTTTATTAAGACCATCCATATGTCCAGTGGTTAAGAATACAAGAAAAGATGTATCAGACAAAAATAAGCTATAATATTATGATTGCTGTTGCTGTATGTATGTCCTTGTTTTGTAGGGATCAAAGCATGAAGAGGCAGATGGCGATGAGGATGAGATGGAGAATGGCCTTATCCAGCCTGCCCAAGTGTTTGCACCAAAAAGTCTTATCCTAGTCTCCAGACTCGACTTCCCAGAAATATTCAGGGTAATCAGAGTGATTTTGTGTTACACTTTTAAAAACTTTTTACAGTTGAATTCTGTGAGAAATCAAATCTCCCAGAGGTTCACCTTTGTTGTTAGAAGTTGTGGACAGGGTTCTTTCTACCAGAAGGTTCTTCTAGAGCTCTGCATAAAAGTGGTCTAAACATTGATTTGTATTTGTGACAAAGGGCACTTTCATTAATAAAAGTCAGAAGTCACTGTTTTCCATTGTGTTGTTCATCACCATGGCTTGATTTCATACGTGCAGCAAATTAAAACTAAGAAACAAATGACATGCAGATGGTAAACTAAACATAAATTTTTGGTATATAGTAGAACTCTTGTAAAAAAAATGATAATGCTAGGACCACGGAATTGAATTCTGAAACAATTACAAAACCAAAAAAATGTGCTATTTAATGAGGAATGCAAAAAAAGCTTTGGAGAATGGAATAAAACAGCACAAGAATGTGTCGGGAATGGCTGTCAGTTTTCCATGTACCTGGCTCAGATAACGGATTAACGACCTGCGACTGCACTCCACACAGACACTGAGAGCCGGCATAATGCGCTGTGAAAGCTGAGACCGTTGAAGAGGGAGACGCCTTTTGACCTTCAGTAAACACACAGCCAAAGTTTACGTCCCCATTAAGAGGGGAGCCGCCACAACAGGACCAAGTCATCCGGCAAATCCTTGGCATGTTAGTTTTAGCAGTGGTTTCTGTGTGGAAAAGTAAGAGCTCACCTGCTGGGACGGTTTAGTGCAGTTAGGATACGGCTACTAGTGAAAACATTTTTGGTTTGTGTGTGTGTTTGGGGCTGCTATGACCTCATGTACCCCCTAAGACAAAATAGCTTTACAAACACCTATCATTCCTTCATTTATTCCTGGAACAGAAAACAGAATTCCTTAAATGTCAAGCAGCATGGAGAATTCCGTACAGAGCCCACAGCTTGTCCTTGTGCTTGCTTATAAAAACCGCAATGCAGAAAATAGATGCATTGTTTGACATCTTCTTAAGTTCTTCAAGATGCTATTGAGGGAGAGCACTATATTTAATGTTATTAACTTGGGAAACTATGCTAATTTGGCTATAGGGAGAGTCACTATATACTGTGTCTGTCATCTGGTTTATAAAATTCCTGTCCTCAAACCGAGCAAGACCCACTGTCTGCGGATTGGATAACACAGGATTATGGAACTGGGAAGCCCAATGTTAAGACCTAACAATGCGGAGCCAGGAAATCCTTCTTAAAGCCCAGCTCATCCACTGACTTCAGCAGTCCTTTTACCTCCTAAAGCCTCAGTTCATTTAGTAGTGGCACTATTCCCAGTATGATAAAATGACTCGGTCTGGCATTTGAGAAAATAGTCTTCTTGAAATTATGCAGATGAAATCATGAGTGTGTGGTATTTTGGTACAGGAATGGAAATGTTAAAACTGAAGCAGTTAAAGCAACTACTACTAATTAATTCAATGATTTTTGATGACTATCAGTCATATGCATTTTATAGCCTTTATGCAGTGCCTCAGTGCTTCCAGACCTTATTTTTGGGAGACTAAAATCATGTAGTACAATCGGTTTCTGTTATTCAAAACCTTTTTCAGTTTTGCTTTCTAACATTACAAACACCATAAAATGTCCCAAGTTATTTGTTTTCAAATTAACTGTAAAATACAATGTATTTATTTTTAAACTGGAGGGGGGAAAGGCATAGAAACCCATATATACATAAAAGTGTGTGTGTGACTTTTGAAATTGTTGATGCCATGTCTGAAGTTCTTTAATTGGTTATAATTACCCTTATTCATAGGAATAAAATGATATATATATATATGATTTCCTCCCTGGTATGCCTTTTAAAAGCTCATTTTTCAGACTGCTGTAATTATGGAAGTAGGTCCCAAAACTGAACCATGTGTGTTTTTTTTCTGTCCCACAGGGTTGCCTTGGCCTGATCTACACTGTGTACATCGACAGCCTCAATTTTCCTCTGGAGGGTCTAGTCGCAAACCTCTTTACATGCCTCGTGCCAGTGGCTGGTGGTTCTCAGGTGAAGAAACAGAGTTTATTTTCCTAGATAATTTAATTTGCGGGGAAAGTAAGCCATTCCTTAAATATTTGGTGTCTGCGTGGGGATTGGAGTTGAGCTATGCCTTGTCCCTGTAGACTGTTTTTTAGAGACAGATAGAATTCCATTCTAGACTGAGGTCCCTTGGGTTAATTTGACACTTCTTTAAAAAAAACTGTAGTAATAAATCAGTGGAAAGACATCCTTCCACTTGTAGTGTAATTTTCAACGTCTGTACGCATTTCCTGAGTTTAAGTGAACTGAAAAGGAAAAGTGCTTGTCATGTGTCCCAATTCCGAAATAATGCTTTTTTCTTTTGTTTTGTGCTGCTTAAGATGCTTCTTGACATTTCGTTTTTAAAGATGTACCATAACAATTTGTAGAATTAACCGTTGCTTAAACCCAAACATTTGATGTTCCTCAGTAGGTTAAACATGTCTTAGGAAACCTATCAAAAATAACCTAAGACTAATAAAATGAAGAATACCTTGAGATTTTTTTTAAAACAATTACGGTTATATAATGGTTATGATCATATCTCAGGATTCAGCTTTAAGTTAATCTTGGAGTAGAGGGTTTTAGATGGAAATAAAATACTATAGTTTGAACAGAATTCTGCTGTACTGAGCAGCATATTGAAGCAAACCAGAATACGTTCCTTGAATTTTTAAAATTCGGTTAATGAAACAACAGCCTTTTTTAACGAGACCTTCAGAAAATTCTCTTTATATCACAACTTGTGTGTTGTTGACCATTCAATGCATTTTGCAGTTCCTAAACAGAAAATTAATTATAAATCACATGCATAGCTTTGTCATTATTCAGTAGAGAAGGAATTGCAAGCTCATAGGGTTAAATGAACTGTAATGCAAGATAGAGAAACCTTTTCATCTGGTTCCCAATCCAAAATCTACCTTGATACATATACCCACATAGACACACATGTTTTGTCTGTACGTGTAAGCCCCATGAAAAAAAGTGTGAAATGATTTTAAACTCAGAACTTGTCCCTTCTTGGTTGGAAATGTTGAGGAGAGACTATGGTCCCTGTCACCTACTGTACATCCTTTTTTAAACATTCAAGTGGAAGTTAGCATGCATTAATTTGCTCTTTTCCTGGTTACGTGTAAAAGTCAAACTAATTCACTGTACGTACTTTACTTTTTTTCTTGACATATTTGGACTGTGTCATTATTTCTGTTAAAATAAGGTTTAGATTTTTTTGTATCGTATTCTATTGGAATACCTCAGAAGATCTCTTGAGTTGAATGAGAGGTACAGAGAACAAGAATTAAGAACAAGAAAACAGCGGAGAACTCTGTTCTCAGGAACAGAAAAGAGCATGTGTCCTTACATGTTCTTCCCTTTTCCTTAGAAGAAAAATTGACAGACCTCAGTCTGTCAGAGATAGACTGTTTAGACCAGAAATGAGTTTGGTTGCTGTCCTTTGCAGTGCCTCTACAATGTAACATCTTTCTTGTGGAGTGGTGATGTAAATGTAACACAGTATTCCAAGTGAAGTTAAACTAGTGCATTGTGTAGTTTCAACATGAGTGCTCTTGGCTCAAATTCTATGTTCTGTATAAAACTTTTTGTTAGCCTTTTTGTTATTTCTCTGGAAATCTACTTAAACTCTTAGATTTATCTCATAATATCATAATATTCAGTTCCTTACATTTTATGTATTCCTTACACTCCAAAGGATGCCATAGCTCATTACATGTAGAAGGGGAACTACATCACCCACTGTGCTGCACTCACCTGGGTGACACTCAGCCATTGGTACCACCAGCAGCTCCACCACACCGGTGGAAAAGTGAGAAATCGCTTCACCCGTTGAATGAAGGGGGAACATTAGGAAGGCCAGATTGTACAATTTATCCAGGGCTCCCTCTCCTTCAAAACATGCCGTGGATCCTTTAATGAATAAGCAGTCTGGATGTTTTATATAAAGGATGGCACTTCCTGTGACACAGTGTCGCCCTGACGCTAAACAGGGATATTGGTTTGGATATTGCGATCCAGAGGACAGAGCACGTTCTGCTGCTCCTCCAACACCATTTGCAAAAGTTTTTCGTTGGACGTGTCCCACCTTATGACTGACCAGGCCTAGCCCAGCGTAGCTTGTGAGATCTGATGAGACCAGGCTAAAAGACAACAACACGGAATATATTCCTTTTTGTGTTTGCAGTGAAAAGGAAAAGATTTGGGAAATGATATGTATTGGAGCTCAACAGGTGATCTTTTTATGCCTTTTTATAGGTAAAAGATGGTGAAAATATTCCTAGAATTTTAGGAAAGCCATAATGAACAAATACAGTTCCTGTGATTTTGTGTCTCCCTATGTAACACCTTCCATTTTTTTAAAGTCTGTACCAAGGACTTACATGTTGGTTTTTGTATCTTTTCAGAAGTTGTTTTCTCTTGGAGCAGGGGACAGACAGCTCATACAGACTCCACTGAATGATAATCTTCCTGTTACATGCAAAAGTGTGGCCCTTCTGTTTCAGCAACTTGGTAGGTGTACATTTGAGATACAATTTTAATTTTATATTTGCTCTGTGTGGGGATGGCTTTGTGGAACAGAGAAGCAGTTTCCTTCCATTTGAGGACTAAGGCAGCATTTATGCTTCTCTTGCAGACAAATGTCATAGGTCAGATGGAAAGAATACTAGTTTGCAGGAAGGTTTTATTTTGTGCAAAGCATGAATGGTTTGCAGGGTGTTTGACACCGTAGAGTGGTTGCGGTTGCAATTTGAACTCTTCCAGATTCACACATTCACAAGAGAGATCTCAATTAGATAAGAAACATTAATTGGCGAAAATCTCTGTGTGATATTTACATTATGGCCAGTGTTCCCTCTAATTTGTTATACACTGAGCAAATTGGAGTGTCTCTTGAGCACAGACATTGATACTGTGAGCAACTTGAGGATAAATATCTCAGAATGTTGCGAGGAACTAGGTATTTAAATTCCATTCATGCAGTAATATTTGAACCCTGCATCTATCTTGTACTGGACTTGCAGAACAACATTTTACTTTGTACTGCTGGAGATCCCCCATAGCAGCTTTTAGAGTACAAACACATTGGTGACCACTGTCAGACCTGGAAGACTGTATGAATATGGATGTGTCTGAATCTCTGTTAAATATGATAGCTCGTCAGACCTTTTCAAATACATCAACAGTTACAACAGTTACCCAGTGCATTTTGTTGAAACAGATACGCAAGTAAGTCCATATGACCTGTCCAGACAGACTCGGATCACAGCAGTATCGGTGCTGTAATTCTAGCCTTTCAGACAGGACAGAGACCAGTGCTTTAAATGAAAATTTTAATTTTCATGAAGCTGCATGACATTACATAATTAAGACACTGGGAGGAAATCTTTCTGCAGATGTTTATCATTAACCTATTATGAGAACTTACAAATCATTTTTACTGTAGTTGTGAAAATGTTAAATTACTTATTTAAGGTTTGCGCTCTGCAATGCTCAGAGCACGGTAATCTGTAAATGAAGAACACAGACTTAGAAAACAATACCTTTTTAAAAAATGTGCAGATTTGTTTAATAGATGGATGAACTATGCCGTTTTTACCTTTTTTGGAACAGTTTGAAAAAACACACCCTGTGTGTAAATTATTTTCATATAATTTGAAAGAAATTTTGAAATCAGTTCTAACAGGATGTTGTTGTTACTATTTGCTTTTTAAAAACTATAGATCTCTTGGGAAGTAATAAGTTTGCAATGTTTGCACACTGACTTTTGTGTGGGTGCTGTTGAAAATTCTTGGCAAACTGTTTCTATCCTCTTAAATTTAAATACCAGCGCCATATTAGCTGAGTACAGCAAATTGTCAATTGCTGTACTGCATAACTCTCTAAAGCTCTCTGTTACAAGTTGTTTTGAAGCCCAGGGTAGCAAATATATGATTTACCTCAAGGGACAAGACAAGTCAATGCTGTAGTTATGTGACACAATAGTAAAAGGAGCTCCTGAGCAGCTAATCCATTTTGCTGTATCACATTGGCTCTGTCTCCAGTCCTCTGTGACAGGGATTCTTCACACACAGTTAGCAATGACCAAAGGCACTGAGCTTTGCAGGAAAACGTCAATGTCCGGAAGGTGCCTGTGAGCTTTCGGTGACATCAGTGAGATGTGCACCACCCCTTTGGTGTGCTAACTCCTCTAAAACATTGCTTTTTGTGAGAGTCTGGAACAAGCTGGCCTGCTGGATGAGATCATTGGGTCAGTTAGCTACAAGACAAACCTGAATGGCCTTCTTTTTTTTTCTACCATCCAATTTAGAACAAGGCCTTCCCGCTTCTTATGTTCTTGTCAAATGGCAAGTGGCCAGACAGGAGGCAAGCTGGAGGAGAATGTGCACAGCCCTCATGTTGATATGTTTTTCAGAACAGTGATTGAGGGATTCCATGTTTGAACTAGATGAATAGGTTAATGTGCCTTAGGTTACCAACCCAACAATGTGACTTGAAGTGTTTGCAAGGGAAAGGCAAAGGGTAGCATTTGTGTTGCAGATGCTACATTTTTCATTCAATCTCGTGTTTCCTCTCTAGGTTCAGCACTCATATGTAGCACAAATATGTAAATATGAGTAGGCCAGTTTGTTCATTGTGCCAGGGAATGTTTTTATGTTTTCTTTGTTATAGTTGTTACTATGTTTTTAGTGCCTTATTGCAAATGATTGGCTACTGCATTTACCTTTTTGCTGTGAAAGTATATTCAGTGTTTTTTTTAAACATCATTTGGAAAAATGAATGTTGTAGATTGCTTTTAAATTCAGAGCTTATTGTGACACGTGCAAAGAAAGTTTTGTGGGTTCTCTGCTTTAGAATGAGAATGTTGTCCTTTTTTATGAATTTTCACCAATTGGAAATTGATTGTAGGAGACAGTTGCATTTACATCTCAGATTTACAAGCCCATATGGATGGCATATTTTGCTACATTGGACCTGAGTGGTATTTCCACAGCCAGAAAAGAAAATGTAGAATGTAGAAAAGTAACCCATGTCAACATTACCTGAACACCAGTGAACATGGCACTCTGTATGGCTTTGCTTTTAATTTGAAGAACAGATGCATGTTACATGCATTACTTTAGATATACTGTATGCTGTACATATTTTTCTTTGTCTGTTCTAAGTTCTGGTTTTATTTCTGTCCATCCCAGCATGCATTCTTTTTAAATTGTACAACATAGATCATTAACTTTTAGTAGAGTTTCTTCCATTGCTAGAAATTATATATCAATATTATGAGATAATATGTTTTTAACTGCTGCACAGTCCAGTATCGTGAACATTTCCAGAAATCGTCATGATTTATGAGACAGAACAAAAACAAAAGCCAGAGAGGAATTAATTTCTTTGCTGCGTTGTAAATCAATTTTAATAGAAGTAGACATTTGTAAATTGTGAAGATTTGCAAGAACAAATAAATACAGTTAAGTGGACCTGCATCCATACCTGAAGACATCTTGCATAATGGTCTGAAATGATTTTACAACCAAATTTTGAAATCCAAAAACCAGTTAAATGTGCATATCGGCTTGCACCAGGTGTGTTTTATTAAGTCTGTGAAGCCCAGTGGAGTCAAAATCATTCAAAATGTAAGGACGTAACATGTTTCTATCACATTATCCTATAAAAATGCATGTCTATGTGGCGTGATAAGTGTGACAAATCTGACTTAACAAGTTTAGATATTTAAGAAACAACTGTAATGCTGTACCCCTTGGTGCTGTAAATCTGGCAATATTCAGGTAGTACTATGCTCATTTGTGTCGTGATAAAAGTAGTCATCCAGATCTTTTCTCTTTCACTTTATGCCTTGTTGGTGTAATATGAAGAAATAGTCAGCTATTTATTTTCAACACAGTTTCAAGATTGAACTCTGCCAATGGGCAATCAATAATGGTTTGCACATTTTTGTTTCTTGTTATTTTTTACAAGCAGTGGAAAAATACTGGCTACTTCAGAGAATATACCTGTGTGCATCATTAATATAGGCAAGGTTTACTGGGATCATGTAGAAGTCAGCTATCTTGGTTGACCTCAGTTCAGATATGTAGCAAATGAATTACTGATTTGTGTCTGGTCATAAGCTGTTTTCTAAACCTTGGCAAACTGCTGTGGTCACAAGATTTATTTCGGAGTGTAATAAGGCAGTGAATGACGGTTGAATCTAGATGCTATCTAATGCTATGCATTCAGCTCACCTACTATGTATTAGTGTTATTGCAACATACTGGTAAATACTTCATACTTCAGAACTCCTCAAGTGGGGTAAATCGTGAATGATTGTGGTATTTAAACATGCAAATTGACATACAGTACATGTTTTGTGTAGTCCTCTTTCAAACCTGAGCTGTGCATGTTCGAGAGTTGGGGGAAAACTGGATATGTCAGAGTACCTTGCATCACATCTGATGGAATGCATAGAAGACAAATGCACATTTTGAAGCTTTAAGATGAATTATTATTATGAATCTCCTGATTATTATCGTTTGTGCAAATCTCCATGTTACACATTTTCTTCTGTGCCTTTTCATTAAAGTGCTTTGTGTAAAAAAAGCTTTTTTTCTGCTTACTACAACAGGATTGTTTTTAAAACCTTTCGAGTCAGCACATCCTGAAAAACTGAACTTTTTGTTCAGAACCAAGAACTTTTTTTGTGGCAGAGCTAGGATCGCAAGTAAGCTAGTAATAATGATAAATTGCATTCTTTCTGTTCTGCTCGAGTTGTGTAGTCCATATTTCCGATCATAGTTATCTTAAGGGATGAAAAAACGAATGCCAACAATAGGTATGTGAATTTTTGGGTGTATCTGTAATGAATGATTATTACAGTCGTATAGGAGCATGTTAAAAAGACAAGACAAAGATGAATAATGATGTTTATCTGAAATTGCTGAAATTAAGAAGAACAGGCGGAGGCTGTTGATTCTGTGGCTGCAGGCAAAACTGAGTAATTTGACAGATTGCTCCTTTTGTGTTTATTTCTGTGTTTATATATAGTAAGAACATTCAAATGACAAAGAAATAACACTGAGTTCCCGCACATTTGATTATGTCATTTCTTTGGTTAACTGCCCCTGATACACAAAGCTTATTTGAGCCACCATGGCAACTAGATAAGAATGGAAGCCAGTGCATGTTTTGTTGATTTGTCTTTGGATTGCAGAAAGATGTTTAAATGTGGAGATTGTTCCGTATTGAATGGTCCTGAAATGTTTCCTGAAGTACAACTTTTAAAAATTAATTTTTAATCTGGTGCAACCCACCTTTAAAGTTTCATTTTAAGCTATTATATGTTTTTGTAGGAGACAAATATGTGTTTACTTTGATAGAGATTAGTTCTCTATCACCTAAGAGGTGATAGAGATAATAATCACCTAAAGAGGATTATATGAGCATGAAATCCACTGTTTAACTGAATTACTGTGGACTGCCACTAAAACCTGACCTGAGGTTTACTATTAAATGTGGGT